CAATTCACAAACTCGTAACCAAATTCATATTCACAAAATAGCTTTTGCAAATGCACAACCAAATTTACATTCGCAAAATAAGATCCATAAATGCAAAAGCTCATAAATATGCACAATGCAAATTTTTTCAATGTTTCTATGAATTTGCAAAGTGTCTCAAAGTGTGTGAATCGCTATGCATTTTGAGAATTTCCTGCCAGGGCCCAATTTACATATTGCAGTTTTATTAAAATTAACATTCTCTTTAACCAGTCAGATGTGAGTGTCAACCCAGCCAGTCATTAATGCAGCTTACTCATGGTATGACTCAGGAAGCATAGCTTTGCATAGTGCTTTGTGATTAGTTTTGTCATTCAGAGAACCAAACTCCACATGTATGCAGTTTTTGATAATACAAGTTGGTGTTTGCAAGGCTAGATTTTATGTCCACTAATCAAGGCATTGAAGCATTGAGCAAGGCTGTGTATGATAGGCTAGATTGAAAACTCACGTTTGAATGGTGAAAGAGAGCGTCTCTTTGAAAAACACTAATTTGGTCATTTCAGCAATCAATTCATACACACAGAAAGATTCAGAAATGTGCTGCATACTTGTGTGCTTCTAAATTATGCTTTGCATTCGTGAATATTGTTTTGTGAATGTACTGTACATTTGGTTGTGCATTTGTAAATTGTATTTTGTGATTATTAATTAGGTTTTGGGAATTATTTGTGTCACTTGTTTAGCCCCATATCAGACAACTAAATATAACAATTGCAAGACCTTCACTTTTCCTCGTCATTTTTGGTGTTTTGGTGATTTTTAGTGGATGTATGAAGTCAGTTCTCCTCAAGTTCACACAGGTGTAGAGAATGACGTTAACATGATCCACTAATGTTTCACAAACACAAAGTGTCATGGTACTTTTTGAACATCAAGTGTAATCATTTTGGGTAGTAAACTGATTGTTTTGAGAAATGTTTTACTTGAAATGTATAAGTAAAATCAAGGCATGTTCTCCACAGTTCAACGAAGAATCGCATTGAATTTGTTTCTTTGTGTGTGCATCTATATGACGACACGCGGTTATATTACAGCAGTGTTTTCATACACATTGCTATACACTTTTTCTAAACATATTTTTAGGTAATGACACAAATTATTTGCTGGAAATGAATCAGTCATTGTTCCTATGAAGTATGAGTCAATGACAGTTTGGGAAATAGTCAATGTTAACACTGCAGAAAATTGATGTAATGACCAAATAAAAAGTGCATTAAACTCATCACATTATTCACAATGTTGCTAGTCAAATTAAATCGCCAGCAGAATTATAGTTATATTTGATATATAGCCCAGCCTACTTAAGTTGTCTCTGTTTGCCACTTTTTTATGTTTTGTTATCGAATGCTTTCAAACTGTATGCAGTTTGAGTGTTCAGATTCTTTTGTGGGCCGCTATGCAGGCGAACTTTCCCCCTCCCGTTCCTGCTTTGTAAATGTCTCTCATGTGTTTTTAAGTTGTCGGTGTTCTGCTGACCAAGTCATTATTTTCATGCTCACAAGCTCAGTTATTCAAGGACATTAACACCCTACATATATGTCTGCGCTCTCACCTAAGTCTCCAGTTGTGTTCCCCTGTAACACTCCTCAGATGAACTTGTGTGAAGTTTTGAGCGCTCTGTCCCGTCACACAGTTGTTGTGAACTGCTGAGTGTATAGCCGCTGTGCAGTCATGCTGTGTTTGGCCTCCAGTGTTTGAGATTTCCAGTATGATGAATCTTTTGGGATGGGCTGTGTAGCTCCTACAGCACACACCACACGCTCTGTCAGTCTGGATCTCTCTCTCTCTCTCTCTCTCTCTCTCTCTCTCTCTCTCTCTCTCTCTCTCTGTTTACCATGTCCATCCCCACCCCCTTTTTTGTCTGGCTCTGTCTTTTCTCCTCCCCTCAAATCACTGTGGAAACAGTTTTTTCTCCACCTTTTGTCAAACAAAGTCTGGAGGTTGTTTTGAATTGGCCTGTTTTGTGTTATAATACTTGTGTGTGTGTCTGTATACTGGATTTGGAAAACAAATTCCTGGCCTTAAAAAGTATGAATGCTTTTTTTTCCAACATCACACGTTTTATATAGTATATAGCGTTAAACATCTTTCTGAGGTTACATTTGACCCCAAAATCAAAAAGGCAAGCAAGCAGTAAATGAATGAATAAATAAATAAATACATTTTAATATAAAAACTTAATATATAAACGTAACATATTTTTCTTAAATATATACATGCATGTGTGTGTATTTATATATACATAATAAATATACACCGTACACATACATGTATTATGTAAACAAAAACTTTTATTTTTGGATGCGATTAATCGTTTGACAGCACTAATTATTTCATACTGAATGGTTTGTTTAAACTAGTGCTGTCAAACGATTAATCGCGATTAATTACATCCAAAATAAAAGTTTTTGTTTACATAATATATGTAGGCCTATGTGTACTGTGTATATTTATTAGTGGTTAAACAGATCGTAGTTGATCCGTGATCCGTACGGACCAAGCCCCACGGTTCGGCACGCATGTGATCTGCGGATTAATTGCAAAATTGAACCATAATAGAGTATAAGTTTATCATTTGTTCGTATTTACACAAGCAAGCGAATTTTAAACCATTCCAGAGAGAAAAGGCGAAAGGGAACTCGATTCGTTACTCGTGCGCTGTTCTCTATGCGCACAGCCACACACGCGTTTCAGACGGTGCGCAAACACCGAACTGAATCCTCTTCTGAATCCTCTGAACAGACACATAAAATAATGACAAAATACCCATCTTGACAATCATTCAGGTAAACGCAGTCAGTTATATCTCAAGTGAATGAAAACATCTGAGAAAGAAATCTGATGTGATGTGTATCATTATATCGGATCCGTGCATCAGGTCTTAAAGGGACAGCGGCCTATAAAAACTGCTGCTGTCATTAATGATCATCAAACAACAAAACAGCTGTGATTAAAAAAATATATTTTTAATTTATACAGTGAACACTATGCAGTGTTATTTTCACTAATTATTAAATTTCTGTATTTGAATACTATCAACCTTATTTAATTTGTAACATATTCTGTTGTATTTATCTATGCTTGTAATTTGTGTATTTGTTCTTATTTTTACTGGCAGTATTTGCTGTGGTATCAAAGAAGGACTTCGCTTTAAGTAATAAATGGAAAGCAAGTTAAATTGAAATATTTTTCTTTTCTTGCTGATACGAAAAATGATCCGATCCGTGGGTCAAAAACCGTAATGTGATCCGAACCGTGAGATTTGTGATCCGTTGAACCACTAATATTTATTATGTATATACAAATACACACACACACAGTACATATTTTGAAAATATTTACAGGTGCATCTCAATAAATTAGAATGTCGTGGAAAAGTTCATTTATTTCAGTAATTCGACTAAAATTGTGAAACTCGTGAGTTGAATTACTGAAATAAATGTACTTTTCCACGACATTCAAATTTATTGAGATGCACCTGTACATGTATATGCATTTATATATTTATATTCTTATATATAAATATATTTAATATATAAACGTAACATATTTTTCTGAAATATATACATGCATGTGTGTGTATTTATATATACATAATATACACAGAACACAATCATATATTATGTAAACAAAAACTTTTATTTTGGATGCGATTAATCATTTGACAGCACTAAAATAAATATTATCTTATAATAAAAGTATTGTAACATTAAATGTAATATAAAAATATTTAGCTGTATTTTTGCATTTTTTTTAACAGTAAAAATACAATAATGCAGTGTATAGTGTATGTTTTTTAGAGAGAATAAATTAAGGCCAAAAAGTGTATAAATGCTTTGCAATTAAAATAATGTTTCAGATATAGTATTAGATTGATAAAAAAAAATTTCCTTTGAAAATTGGGTGTAATGTACCTTGCCGTCATGAAAATAATGATACAAAATGTCAGAAATGCTGCAAATGTTCATGTTCCTAAAAAACAGGTTGCATTTTCCTTATTTCTTTAATATTTTGGAGTAAATAGTTTATTTGCTCACTATGCCATACAGCCGAGGAAATTTTCATGCCTTTATTTATATATATATATATATATATATATATATATATGTGTGTGTGTGTGTATATATATATATATATATATTTATATTTATTTATTTATTATTTTTTTTTTTTTTTTTTTCATCTCAGTTTTTTGTCCGCCTTTGATTTCCATTTGTTTACCATGAAGTTCCATATGACTTAAGACATCTTGTGTTTGGATTCAAAAAGGAGGAAAGCATTGCTCTGTATGTGCCTTTAGAGGAAATCACTAATGGGAAAAGTGAACAGTGAGAGCGGGGAATGGGCTTTTGGTCAGTGTTGGCACAGAGGGTCTTTGTAAATGTGTTTTGGGAGGGTTTCTGCTTCTCTGTTGCCCTACCAGCTATTTCAGACTCTGAAACCCAGATGTCAGTGAAGTGAGAAGTGCACATCTCTATTTTAGAGTTCACACTACACAGGATGTGTTAAGTGCACAAACATTTGTAGAAACTTGTAGAAACACTCTCTGTTCTTAATTAAAAGGGTAGTTCACCAAAACATTAGTATTTGTAAACAGAAGTTGTCATTTACTCACCCATAAGACTTACTTTCTAACATGGAACACAAAAGGAGACTGTTTTCCATACAGTGACCAGCAGGGGCTTTTTGTCTTGCAATATGAAACTAAGAAGTTTTTCAATTAAAATGTGAAGTGTCACAGAATTCTGGGAATGTCAATGTACAGTTTTTCACTGTAAATTAAGATGACTTTTTCACTTTTTAAAAACGGTCAATTTAACAGTAATTTTCTGTAAATTTACATCTTTAGATCTACTATTTCTCTTTTACTGTTAAAATTCGAGTACATTTTTGTGTTCCATGTCATGAGAGTTTGGATTTATTTGTTACTCCTGTTAATCATCATTCTTCATTTCCAGGTGCAGACATGCCACCATCTCACAGTTTTTTGGCAATCAGAAGCCAAACTGTGCCGGCGCGTGTGACTTCTGCCGTGACCCCAGACTCGTGCGCGCTCAGCTGGCGAGAGCAGCCGCCCTCAGCACCAGAACCGGCCCGGCACAGAGCGCGGAGCCCAGGGGGCCGTTCGGCTTCGACCCTGAACTGTACGCGGGAGGCAGGAAGGGTTACGGCATTGAGAGGTCAGCTGACCTCTTACTGAAGCAGCTGTACTGTATGATCAGCGCTGTTAGTCTGTGGAGACTCAGAGCTTCTGTGTGTGTTCAGATGTGATGAGGAATGGGGCAATGAGGAAGATGACTCCGAGAAGAGGAAGAAAGAATTCGGAGATATCTTCAGGAAACAGATGAGCATGAGAAGGGTGAGCACACGGACAGGGCACTCTTTGGCAAAAGGACAAATGCTGAATCTCATGAAAACATGTCCAGGTCACTTTTCTACCAGAAATGTTACTCAAGCCTGTTTCCGCCACTGAATAAAAAATAAAACAAGGTAAATGTGACTTTTTATCTCACAATTCTGATTTATTTTTCTCAGAATTGTGGGATATAAACTCATAATTGCGAGTTAAAGGGATAGTTCACCCAAAAATGAAAATTCTGTCATTAATTTCTCACCCTCATGTCATTCCAAACCCGTAAGACCTTCATTCTTCTTCGAAACACAAATTAAGATATTTTTGATGAAATCCGAGAGCTTTCTGACCCTCCATAGACTGCAAGGGAACTACCACGATCAAGGTCCAGAAAGTTAGTAAGGACATTGTTAAAATAGCCCATGTGACTTCAGTGGTTCAACCTTAATGTTATGAAGCTATGAGAATAATTTTTGTGCACAAAGAAAACAAAAATAACAACTTTATTCTGCGATTTCTTCTCTTCCGTGACAGTCTGCTGCCATTATTGACAGTACCACGACGCATGTTTTCTTTCACAAAAAATATTCCTGCAGCTTCATAAAATTACAGTTGAACCACTGATGTCACATCGACTATTTTAATGATGTCTTCACTACGTTTCTGGTTCTTGAACGTGTCAGTTGCATTGCTGTCTATGGAGGGTCAGAAAGCTCTCGGATTTCATCAAAAATATCTTAATTTGTGTTCTGAAGATGAACGAAGGTCTTACGGGTTTGTAGCGACATGACTGAGTAATTAATGACAGAATTTAAATTTTTGACTGAACTATCCCTTTAATTTTCAATTCTGAGAAATTTACTGTTCGTACTATTTTACTATTTTCGTACAATTTCATGTTTAAATCTCGCAATTCTGACTTCATAACTCGCAATTGCGAGTTACAAAAATTGTATTCAGTGGCAGAAACGGGCTTCCATAAAATACTTCATTACCAGCCATGGATTAATTTAATCATATAACAAGTTCCACAGTGAAAACAATGAGTTTGAAGAGATTGTCATGATGATAGAAACTCAACATCATTGTTTTGAGGACTGTTATATTTTGTTGTCTTTGTGCAGGATTTTTGTTTTAGCTTTGACAAAAAATGCTTGTCACTGAATATTATTGCATTGCAGATGGTTAGAACACAGTAGTGAGTGATTTTCATTTTTTTATGGTTTTTGAAACTGATTCCAAAGTTTGGGGTTGGTAAGATTTCTTAAGTGTTTTTGAAAGGAGTCTCTTAAGCCTCGTGCACACTGGGACGATTATCGCTAGCGTTTTTCGAGACGTTTTTCTACGCGTCTTTGTGTTCATACCAAGCAGCAACCTTCCGGTCTCTCTCGTGAAACCAACACGGCAGAGACTAAAACTGCAATTCATCGACTGGCCACAAAAGGGAGTCAGTCCCATAGACCAGAGGTCCCCAATAGTGCTGGGTGGTTTGACCAAAAATGTAAATCACGGTATTTTTTTTAATTATACTGGTTTCACGGTACATGACGGTATTTTTTTTTCCATGCATGACCGGGTGTTTACCATATTTTCTACTGATTGAGAGAGGAAATACTGCAGTATATTGACTTAGAATGTCCTATTTTACTGTCATGATGAGTGAATATTGTCAAAAAATACCACACTAAATAGTGACTAAACACGACCCCTTTTAATACATGTTAACCAGGAGTCACTCTCATTTATAATCGCGGCATCGTCTGATAAAATCAACATGCATCTACACTAAAGAGCGGCTATGCGGTTGTTTTGGCTATATTACTTTTTTGTCTCATGCAGCGCACTGCCTGCGTCTGAGTAACCAACTAAAAAAAAACAACAAACAAAAAAAGTGCATGTGATATTAACAGACGAACTACGCTCATATTTATAATTATAGTTCTACAGCTTCAGTTTCTGAACTTTTTCACACTTAGTAACACATACAGCTGTTCCCTCACCACAGTGCAACAGTGAAAAGGGACCCCTTTCAAACAGTGTCGCGTTCCGAACGTTGTTTAAGCGACATACACCGGTATTGCTGTATTTAAAAAAATTAATATCATTAAAAAAATAAACACCGGTATTTAGTATGAACCGGTATACCGCCCAGCATTAGTCCACAACCACTAGGTCGCAACCCACTACGGGGTCGCAAGAACATTCTGGGAAAAATAGATATAACACTCTGTTATTTATTTATGTTAATGATTGTTCTAATTATTCTGTATTTTCATTGTATGCGATTGATATGGAGCAGCAATTTGACAATTTCATGTTAAATAAGTAGCTAAATGAAAGATTGCTCTGATCTGTCACATATTAGCAGTTAAACGGATCGCAGTTGATCCGTAATACGTACGGATGAGACCCTACCGTTCGGCACGCACGT